CGCGCTGAATAGCTTGTTAACTCATCGCAAGTATGAACAAACCGCCAGGTTGGGTGACAGCAAAACTGACAAAAAGCACGACCAATCCATGCACGGTGGCCTCGTTCTGAATAAAGCTCAAGCTTAGCAGCATACTGATTTAGTTTCCGTTTCTATAAGTGATTTTCCCGTGCTAGCTGAATAGCAGAAGAGGATTCTGCACAGATTAACTCGCCTTTTTATCTGTGGATATCTCCGATCGGCTCACAAACTAGCGCACAACATGACTTAGAGGCTCTGTTTGAACGTGACCAATAAGTGTATTTATTGTTCTTGGGTTCCACTATTAACCTGTGAATTTAAGGACAAATCGTTGTCCAATATTTATGTGCTTACCAGTTCAAAGACACGCAGCGATACTGGGTTCCAAGAAAAGCGAAACATCAGTGTTTCTCTACTGTACTGTAGGACGGCAAGAATAATATTGCATAATCCGGGAAATATACTCTAAACTTAATCACGTGAATTCACTTCTGGAAGATCCATCAACGTCTGTTACAGAGCTCTTACCGGGAGAGACTGATGTTTCACGGACCACCAAAGTTCCTCAAGAAGGGGTTGTGTAAATTCTCGATGACCGCATTGCTCATGAATGCTGAAGATGTTGGTTATTTTCATAACTAGGGAAGCGTTGTGGACCCGCAAGAATTTTCAAATGATTATTCTTCGCAAACAAGGTTTTTCAAAAGTCGGAAACTTGACAGTATCTGGAAATAACGCTAGGCTTGTGAGAAGTTCCCAGAAGTCTCTACAGTTCGATTTTTGATGATTTAAAACAATTGTTTGGTTTTGAAGCCTACGCATGGTTAGGGCAAATAACGAGTGTTTATTTGTTTCACGATCAAGTATCCAAACTCCATTTTGCACCATTTTTGCATACCTGTTACCTCAGTTGAGCAGTTTGCACTTAGAAGGAAGTTTCGATATTCTGGATGAGTGCGTCTGGTATCTTGTCAAACGTTTCTTGTTTGGTCACGTTTCTTGGTTTACATTCCTTTCAGTTGTTTGCATTTATTTTGTTTGCATGCGCTCCAAGGCATGTTGCGACCTGAAGCACGTGACTAGATGTACCCATAGTTTGGAGTAGATCAAATGAAGATTGGTTCCTTGGTGTTTAGATCCAATGGACTTGACATAAACGCCTTCTGCTAAAGGCATGCTTTCCTGGATCGCTTCAAGGGTTATCTTGAAAACAAAGCTCCTCCTTTGTACAGATAAACACTCCCGAGTTTTCGAAAAATGCAGTTACTTCAAACGACAAAGCACGCTTGCGTGTCTGAGTCAAGCCACTGAGTGTACAAGACGTCAGGGATAAAGTACGATGATCTCCGAAAGACATGGTGATGCAATGCCGAGATTATTTCTATCACAGCTCTGGAATGCACACAAACTGATGTGTACCTATGACTGATGTACGTTTTCCAACATCAAACTTTATCACCCGACCTTGCAAACTGTTGATGTAGTTTTTCTGAAAATGGGGCTGGGTTTGTTGACGCAAACCATTATAAATGAATTATCTGACATCTGGTATTTACGTAAACAATACCGTTTACACTGTGTACTGGAACTTCTCAAAATAAGTCAGATGCAGTGTGAAAACCATACACGCAACGTAAGGCTGAGAATCTCCACACAGTTGTCCGTTATTGAAGCTGCTTTAATGCGATATGTTTTGGGGGACGGAATTTACTCTTCGTTCTTTGCAGTTCGTTGGTTGTTGATACCAACGACGGATCGAGCCATATTCTACTGAAGATTATAAAATACTGACGAAAATAGGCGAAAATGATCGTTTGTGGTGAATTCGTTTGCCTGAATATGTGTGTATGCAGAGGGGGTTACCGTCTCCTCTGCTTTTAGGACGCATGAGATATTACTTGTCAGTTTTTTCGCGATATAGCCACATCCCCAAAACATATTGCATACCAGTGAGCCTCATGTAAAGTTCTTTTCAGTTCGTGTGAGCTACAGGATCCTAGATTTCGTTTGCAACATTCCTAAAATCCACCTTGTTCTCTAACACCGCGCAGGGGTATGCATAGATGTAGTACCTTTTTTCATTAACTGACCAGGTAAGCTACCATGCTTTAAGGCAGCATAGTTGAGAAGTGCGTAAAACGATTTGCATATTGTCTGCCCGTGATTGACTGGAATGCCGAATCTGGTACATGGATGGCACACAGCTCCGTTTGGGTGACTTGTCTCGTTTTCGTCTATATTTTTTCCATTCGGACACGAAAATCTGCTTATTTCTGTGCAGTATGTTCAACCGTGACTTCCGCTCTCACACCTTTCCAAGATCCGGTCCTTGTAGTTTGCTTATCCACGCGTTCTTTTTTCGATTATTCGATGATGTCGGAGAACGAAGCGGGATGATATAAAAAGATATGCGTTCATACAAGTTTAGAAAATCTCGCTTGGGTGATATTTGTAGCCAATATGCTAGCGATAACACTTGGTTCAATTTTGCTAAAACGAATTTAGCTGAGCAGAGGGAAGTGACCTCCCATAGCTTTGGATGTAAGAACAATGAAGAATATGTCTGGTGATGATATTGATAAAGAACGGCAGCTTTCATGAGACTCCTTTGGAACAACAGGATACGGTAATCGTTAATTCTTTAAGCTAATTATGGTTAGAAAAGTTTTTATTAGTGCCTTCCGAAATTTCTCGAAGACATTATCATCGAGAAATTTAGTTTACGGCGCTCCGTGTCACGTTGATTAAACTACTTTATTATTTATCTGCCCCGATGCCACCACCAGTATCTTGGACCAGTATGACAAGGGATTCGCTGGTGCTGTTTAGTTTAACGACCTTATATAAGCGTGTATCGTGAGTTATTTTATTTCTCTTAATGTCCAAGGGTTTGCAAACTGATAGATCACACTACCTAATGCTCAATGACACAGCCAGACTTTCAGGAAGTTTGGGCTATATCATTAATTCCAGTATTTATTCAGCGTCACCATTTTGTGATGCAACTTTGATAAGAGTTTGCCCGCGATAAAATATTGCTGGAATGATTTGAGAAAGGTTTATTTCGAAGCTTTTTAAATGCTTTTAATTACTGTCACTGTGAGGGCAATTCTATCAGTGAGTTGCTAACTCCAAACGTATGTTTTTTCAAATGATTTCAAGAGCGAAATTATTCATTCCACCCACAACTACTAAGAGGAAATAAGTAGTTCTAGGTGATGTTCCACCCACAGTGGTTGTACATCAAAAATGGTGACAATGTCGAACACGCTGACTTTGATTTACAGAACTCTAGGCCACAAAAAAGCAAACTGAATTTGCTTCGAAAATACCTTACAAGCTTTGTGTTTACCTATTTGTCCTGTGATACCCGATTCCTTCGTAAAAGACAATTCAATTATTGTCATCGGTGATTGTTTTGCTCGAGCGAAACCTTCCCCAACGTTGTTTTGACATTACACTTGATGCATATATACAATAAAAAATCGTTTCACGCAGAAAAATGGATTTATGCGGGTGTACAAAACTGCGTTCTGTCCATAAAGGACAAGTTAGTGCATTCGCTTCTGGTGCACAGGAACTTTGCCTTAGGTGACACTTTCGCCTTCAAGATATAGTAGTAGGTATCAAGCATATCGAAGTCATCATCATTATCAAAGACGGCAACATCGGTGTTGGCGCTGATGCTTCACTGCCCTACAACCATGAGGTTTGTCTAGTTATATATAACTATAATAAAAGCCATAGGGTGAAAAGTAGAGGAAAAGAGTGGATGAGAGAAGGGACCTAATGCTGGCCTATGTCAAGCATTTTGAGGTGCCTACACCTCCAACCGCTCAATCAGATAATCTGGAAAGAAACTGACAGCGCGAAAGCCACTGACATCGAGTAGCACATCGAAGTAAAAACTAGTGAACTGAAGTTCTGTGCCGTTCTGTCCTGTGGAGTGTTTGCTTTTGCGGTGCTGCAGGTGACCTGACTTCCTTGCAAAATGTTTATCCCTTTTGGTAATGTTTAGGTTTCCCTGACCTTCCTGGATCGTACGAGGCGAATCAGTTTCTCGGACAACTTTGGCAAAGAATTGTCAATTCCGGGGAAACGCTCCACTTTATTGTCAAATCATCAGATGGATATCGTGGATTAGGCTACTGGAGTTTAACAAACAACATTTCAAAATTCAGAAGTTGAGTGCCAAGTTTCAACCTAGTGAACCAGATATTACAACAAACTAATCGTGGAGACACTGGCATCAGAAAGTGGAATGCACTTCGTGACTTGATTGAAAAACATCAGTAATCGTAGCAAATACATTTAAGGGCACATGGGCTTCGTAGAAAGGGATAGTGTCGATATAATTACTCAGCACAACAATAACTTATCACTACGCACAACTACGCCCCCCCCCAATAACGCCCTGACGATGTCACCACGATTGATAATGAAACGTTTGCAATCAAACTGTCCAGCACAGCGAACGAGACAACGACCATCTACGCTACCTAAGCCACCAACACTTTCCTCTGTAGAAAGTTACTCAGTACCGCGGAAACTTGCTTGTTCTTATATCGACCGTTTGCACACTGTTTTCTGTTGTTAGCAAGCTATACGGTATCCTAACGCCAAACACCACTTGGGTTAATTTTCTAATCTTGTACATCACTCGTCCGTAATCTGAGTGAATATTTATCTCCTAAAATGATTGTACATCATGAATCAAACTGCCACCTTCCTGCTTTGTGCATACCGTGTAAGAATGGGCCTGCTGCTCAGCTACGCTCCGAAAAACATCAAAGCGATTCGAGGTTGGTTAGATCGACAACTTGACGGACTGTGTAATCTGTAAAATGTTAGTCCTATGGTTGTTTTTATTCTTATTTGCTTATTCACTCGTAATTATCGATGAATAACTTTCAAGTGTGTCTGAATTCCACATGAAACATCGACCCCGATAGCCAAACGTCCACAAAGTCGCACGTACCTTAAATTCCTTCTCAATTTCCGCCAGCTTCATCATTTCTTGTCGCAACTCGAACGTTGTCATTATGGGATCTGGACTACTCAGCGCCATATAAGATGGACTAGCAAGCGCTCGGTAAGCATTCAGTCGTGACCGCGATCTTTTTAATGAATCGTAATCCTGTCTAACTTGACAATCGTTACACTGGCAGGAGATTGGATGTGGTTTGTCAATCGTGTGATTCCGCGACAGAAACATTTGTACCATTTCATGATTGTTGTAGTGTGCAGATAAGATCAGAGGTGTGATGTCTGGTGAGAACTGACTCTTTTCTGTGGTTCGAAAGAAAGCATTTTTCGAATCCATACGTTTGATCTGATCTTCACCAGCCTGATAATTCGGATGTTCAATAATCAAACGGACCAGTTTTGGATGGGCCTTGCTGATCGCATGTAACAGCGCCTCCTCGATGCATTCAAAGTTTAGTTTATCAAGCAGCATTTCCATTACTTCGGTGTTTTCCGAGTCGACGGCCAAGTGAAGAGCATTGCGTCCCATAAAATCCACACAGTTCACATTGAAGTCTTTATTGTCTTCGGACTCTTCAAGTGACATGCGTATGATTCCAATATCTCCAGTAGCTGCGGCATTCAAGTAGACACGTTCTTCATCCGTCAGCTGTGTCAAACCACGAAAGAAAAAGGCAATTACTGTTAAATAAATACCAGTTCAGCCATCATTACATTGATTAAAATGTTTGCGAACAGAAAAAACAAAAACCGGAAATGGCGCTACACCTATGTGGTAGGGAGCCTCTCCTCAATTCAGATCGGCCTTAAGGTACAGAACGGACGATACAAGTTGAATTGCCCATTTCTAGAAACATCGGCTCACTTTTTTTGGTAACCTTAACTGCCAGCAAAAACATCTTCGACCGCGACTTGGATTTGCTGGCGATATACATGTCTGCTGATTCTGCGCACTTCTGCTACAGACGAAGATTAGAACTACTCAAACAAGACTGACCTGAACGTGAAGTCTACACATCCCGTCACCGTCTACAAAGATATATTCTTCCAGGGCAGCCACCTCAGATGGTCATAGATATATGTTTGTTGTTATAGGGAATACGGATGATACAGGTTGTCAATTTGTCGAAGCGGGTGATGCCTGTGAAAGTACAACTGAATGCAACCCGCGACAGGTGGGTGTTGACCAATTTGCTCAAACTATGATCAGCTTAGTGTAGAACTATTTTATTTGTGCCCCATAGGTTGCCTTTAGTTCGAGCAGGACAGGTTGGGCTTACAGTGATGAGCAGGGTCGCAGACCTTTGAGGAAGCACTCGGGCTCAGAAGCATGCAACTCAGAATCATTTTGGAACATCTGATATTCCCGTGGAACACAACAAACAATTTTAGACAGATGACTAGGCTTTGGGAATACAGGGGATAGGTTGTATCAGAGCTCTGCTTTCGAAAAATTTATACAGTTTTCACCTGAAAGCAAGTTGGGCGATACTTTCAGCTGCAAGTAGTGAGAAACATTCCGTCACTCTTCCCAAATCTTCTTACTTGCTATTACTATCAGCGTACCCGTTTTAAGATAGCCATGAAAGGCTTCCCAATGAATGAAAACCAGGAAATGAATACCCGGCGAAAATATTTATGACATCTTAAAACAAAGCAAGTAATCGTTGACGATCTTGAGGACAATAGTGCAAAGGAGTTTTTCACTCAAGTGCCAACTGACGCACAGAGGTGAGATTTTTCTTCAAAAGGGTAGTTTGCAGCTGGGTACAAGCCACTGAAAGAGGATCCTGGGCGCAAGCAATACAACTTAGAGTACTGATATGTCACTTTAAAGCTGGTACTGAATATACCTTGTGGAAAGATTAGCTTGTAGTGATCGATGTAGTCCATAGATAATGGTTACGTGGTCAGAGTTGATTAGACTTTAACAGGGTAGTGTAGTTGACAAAATAATATGATAAATACCGGCTCCAGCTTGTCATCCTTTTGCATCTTGGTGTGACAAAGTAACAGGGAAGTACAGTAATTCTTTTTTTGGGAGCAAGTTAACTGGTAATTAATGCCAATAGATTTGAGAGTCTCTTATTATGAGCAAGCAGCAGTGACTGACTGTAAGAAATATAATTGCTTCGTACAATTTTTCACGGAAAAACCATTTACGAGACAAAATGAAAATGATGCCAAAAACAAAACGAAAACGTCGCTGTTTTAAACTCATGAAACTCTGCATTTTGTTGAGTGCCATCACAATGACACCAAAATAGTCCAGAAGAATTTTGAAGCAAGCTGAGGAACTCAATGTTAATTGGAACATTAAGGCTGTGAGTAGTCTGAGAAATTCGTGAATTATTGAACGGTTCGAAACCCCTCTCAACAGCAGATAAAGGCATTGATTGTAAATGAGTAGTAACATTTGGATTGAGTGTTGACTAGTGTACTTTGTGGAACAGTCTTACGCTGAGTGTTTACTAACGTAACGAGATCAAGTATGGTGGGTACAACCGATTAAACCACTCGGGGTAAACTAATTCATTCATTGAATTCTACGCGAAGTTTTTTTTAGCTGATCCCCATAATATTCAGTGACAAATTATCTACTCTGAAACGCAGTTGTCGTAATTGCCAACGAAACGTTACAGATGGAAAAAGAAACGCAGCGGCCAATTGATTGCTTTTCAGGGTGAAAATGGAAAGTTTGTATATCCATCAATCCTTGCAAGTACCGTCGATTGTGATAATTTTTAATCGCATACAAAAACCAGCAGTTTTATTGTTCATCACATTCTTCATGCTTGCCGACCTAAATACGACGCTGAATATATCCGTAGTTTGTATACCATCAATCCTTGCAAGTACCGTCGATTGTGATAATTTTTAATCGCATGCAAAAACCAGCAGTTTGATTGTTCATCACATTCTTCATGCTTGCCGACCTAAATACGACGCTGAATATATCCGTAAACCTGACTTTGGTTCAGAAATAATCGGTCCACTGAAGATGTGAATGAACGGCCACCTGGTCCAAGCATCATGGTAAAATCTTTCTTAATTGACCTATGTGTCTTGCTGTCATCTCATGTGATGACAAAAAATAAAATGAACTTAACGTTAGGTGACTATAGGTGAAGCAGTCTAACAGTTATTCAGTATAAGTGTTCGCAGTCCCATCGCACTGCCGGAAATAGCGCAGCGAACATCTCGAAATTTACTTCAACAGCGCGATCCACATATAATAAATCGTGATGAACCAATCCGACGTTGAGCGGATATGACTGACACATCATTTCGGCCTCATCCTTTGAAACTTTAATGCATCGTTCATTCGCAATCAAGTCTGGTCTTCAAAAGCATAACTTTTGGGAAGCTGAAGAATTATCATAACACCTCACTCTCTGTCCACGTCGGAAGAAATTCACATAAAAATCCCAAGTGAAACTCAAATTACGTCTAGCGCAATTCCGTTTTTTTAAACTTTATTGGTGATGTTCACTTGGGTACTTATTCAAGAACTCAACCGTTTGACTTTTGACGATACCAAAAAATGGAACGATACTTGAATTTCTCTGGAAGCTGGTTTTCCATGCAGTTATATATATANCATGTAGTTTTGGGACGTACTCATTGCAGTCCAGTTCTGCAACTAGAAAGTTTACACAGTCGATCCGTTTTTTCTTAATGCGGACAAACACAAGACGAAACTTCAGCAGAGAAATTGAAACAATTTATTTGTAATGCACTACTTATAAGGTTGCTGAAAATTTGTCGCCTGGAAACATCACAAACGAGAGATTCAGCTGGGTTCCAGGTGAGTCTCTCGAAAAACCAAATTAGTTTGCAAATGTGTGTATTTGAAACAATTTATCAGAAAATCTCCAAAGGACAGCTTCAAGGAACGCGAAACGTTTTTCTCGGGAAATCTGCATCTGTGAAGAAGATGGGTGAGGTATACCCGGCAAATGTCTACCAAAAGCTGGGCGTCTTCTTTTTTTATTACATTATTCGTCCTTTCGCGAGAAAATTGTGGCGGAATCAAAGACATTTTGACACATCTGTTAAATTTTTATCGTTCCCTTTATTGGATTTTACCTCTTCCTTATTATAAGTGTATAATTTTGATGGACATTTTTCAAACGAGCCATGTTTTTGATGTTCTACTCCTGTTATACTGTTGAAGAACTTTCATTTGCTTTCTCAGTGCCTCCCCTTTTGGAATGAACAACTAATGCAGGGGAGGTTCGTCTGTCATGTGGACCCTACTCGGTGCAATTTATTCAACAAACTCGGTACATTTAAATGTACCTTTGTGCGAACGCCAGTCGGTAGCCTTTTTGCTGATGAAGTCAACAGCAGTTACACCGAACCCACTTTTCAAAACGCAGTCAGTTGACAATTAGCCCGACGCTGGCAGTCTAGTGGTGGCATCAGTCGTTTTTCATGTTACACCCACCATCACAGTAAGCATCAGCTAGGGGAGAAAATAACGTGTTTAGGAAACAGATATTGACCGTGGATAGATGTGTTGCTTCGTTCGCCGAATTCGGCAGTCCCATTGGAAACCTTTCGTCGACCATCGCGGGCGCATCCGCACCCAACCGCGCACCAACTATGCACATGATTAGTGACGAAGTACTTTCAGTCGAGCAGCCAGATTCGGCAAAAAGATTAGCAGTTACCCGATCTGCAGTCGGGTGACCCACTGGAGCCAACATTATTTCAATTTGTTTTGGACAATATCCCGGCGCATTTTTGAGTTCCTTCGGATTATTTCCACCATACAGGAGTAGAAATGTGAAATGCCGAGCAGGAAATTGGTCTCCTGATAAGATTAGATTCTCCTTGGGACGATTTCCATGAAGGGCTGTACTACTATCTAACTGCGAACTTGGTTTCATTTCCACTGTTAGGCTGGAATTTTGGAAAAAGGTTCGTCACTTGAATGAAACTTGGTAGTGCGTGTGTTATGATGAACGATTAGTGGTGACTCCGGAGACAACTAACAAGAGGAGATATAAACTGCGAGATGGCGAACTATCTTTGGTTTCATTGGTGTCATTTTAGTGAGTTGTTGGCCAAATGCTAGTATTTGTTCACATGGCGAGAGTATGCCAAGGGTATGTAGATTATTATGCCATGGATACCTTTGAAAGAAAGGTAGGTGGTAAGAGCTCTCTGGTGGCATACCGCTCATATTTTGAAACGGGCGCTATGCTCCAGAAATTGTTTACCTATTCAACTACCCCCGACATTGTACCAACCGTGAAAGTGGTTCAGTTTCAGCCAGAACCGGTTGTTCTGATTCATCTTTAGACCACGAACTCCACAAGATGTTATTTTGACAGCTTTCTGCATGCAGATGAGCCTCCGAGGTCATTATGATGAATGGAAAACCAACCAGACCGACCTATTGTGTTTTATTTCATAGAAGAGTTCATTAGGGCAAGCAAAGTTTTCACCCGTTTGGACTGAACAGATGAGCAAAATAAGGATACAAACAAACAAATAAGCTTACTCGAACATCTTCAAAGTTTGTGAACAAGCACCCGGCTGCCTGTTTGGAAGCACTGGTGGCCTTCTTCAAGTCGCTCATGCTCAACTGATATCCCTGATAAAATCTGAAGGGAGAAGGAAAAACAAAAGACAATAATAATGATAATGAAATTTTTATTTTACTGGAAACCGGCTTGATGGTATGACCAGGATCATAAGGTCTAGAAGGTTTCAAATAAACATGGTCACCTAAATACTTTGCTATCTATATTTTGAGAGCCTGTTAAATGTTGTATAAATTAGGAAAAAACAGGTGTGCATGCAGACACTATAAGTCCTTCTTGACTTTCATACACAGGAGCTGGTTACATATTTGCGTTAATTTTGTAGTAACTGCTCGACATTGTCATTCTTAGGGTGAGTCATGGAGCTGATCAGTATTTCTGTTTACACATTGGCGCCGCGTTTATCAGTGACAGACGCTGGTACTCGGAGATTCTGATGGATGGCATTAGGTACCTTTATAAAAAATTAAACGGTACATTACATTACGTGCTCAGGCCAACTGATAGCTTGCAGCAAGCCTCAGAGCTGCCTCCCACCGGTCTCAATTTCGACATCTTGCTTCTATTGCTACCGTGTACAACGGGCTTTCTCGTTTTTTGTTGTAACTTTACAGTCTATTCTTGGTTTTGACCTAATCAAAACCAGTATTCGACCATGAACAAAAGCCAAACCTCTCGTCGACCTCAACACTCAGTGCCCAATTCCATTAAGCTAAATAAGCCTCGTTATCTGGGCTCAACGGCCGTTAACTTCGGGTGGACTTTTTAGTTTTTCTGTGCAGGATCGTCTTCAAAAATGGCGGGAATTAGTCCGATATTGATGGATACAATGTACGCGTTTGTTGGTGAAGCATCATGTGAACGATTGGACGATAACGGCTTTGCGCGTAACCGGTGCAAGGGTACCTGATTGCCGGTTCATTGTCAGTAATCATTCATCCAAAACGGGGCTTATCTTCTGCGGCTGTAAGGCTGTAGAAAGACGTCCAGTGGCTTGACCACTGCTGCTCTGTAGATCTGAATCGGATTCCAGCTATACAGATGTCTATATTTTGATCTGATCCATAAAAAATTTATCCTGACTAACGCTGCGCACTTTGTTGATGAACCATCATTTGAACGATTCGACGATAACGGCTTTGCGCGTGACCGGTGCAAGGGTACCTGATTGCTGGTTCATTGTCAGTAATCATTCACCCAAAACGGGGCTTATCTTCTGCGGCTGTAAGGCTGTAGAAAGACGTCCAGTGGCTTGACCACTGCTGCTCTGTAGATCTGAATCGGATTCCAGCTATACAGATGTCTATATTTTGATCTGATCCATAAAAAATTTACCCTGACTAACGCTGCGCACAATTCAAAACTACAACATAAATACTGTTTTCCTAATGAACACATAAAATGCCAGGCAAAACCCAGTGAAAGACTACCATTCCAAGGGGACCACTTTTTTACCCAACAGGTTACACTCTTTGGCTCAGACACACCTTTTGGCAGACTATCACACCATCTTTGCTTCCATGAGAATCGTTCCAAAAACAGTTTGGCGAATCAAACTGTAAGAAGCGACTGATCATTTGGAAACTACGAAGTGTACTAATTGGTCTGCATTAGAGGAGGGGCATCATTTTGATCAGACCGACACTTGGAAGAAATTCACACTGTTCACTCTAGACGCATTTGAAAACGGAGCATCCGACGCCAATCGTCCATAAACGCGCTTCTCATTCCATTTTATGGGAGAGGTTTTCATCAATTAATGTACATATATGTAGCAGTCAGACTTCTGCAACCATAAACAAATTGCTTTGCCTCTCACCTAACAGGGCACCAGCATTTTTTACAACTGTTTCTGCTTGCACGTTCACTCAAGATGTTGAGATTACTAGATTCTCCCAACCGGTTCGTTGCATAACCTGTCAAATTGCCGACAGTAAGGTTGATTTTACGGGCAACATCATATTAAAATGATAAAATCCAGGTTTGTCACAATATATATGTGGTGCCACGAAATTCGAGATGCCGAAGGGCTCCAGGAAACCGAAAAAAAACAGTCGAAAAAGTTTCGACTGTTGATATTTCAGACAATCATTCACTGAGTTCACGTCAAAAAGTGAACCACCTTGAGTCGATCGACAACGACGGTGAAATGCATACTGTTTGTATGGTGAAGGAAAACTCAAATAGAAGACGAGAAAATGTGACTCTGTTAGTTTGATGCTACCTACGAAATCGAGAAAACCTCATAACAACACACCAGCGGTTACGCCAATCTAGGGGCTCATCAGCTGAACCCCGAGTCTGTAAAATGCACCCTTCTTGGTGAAACATCAAGATACTATCCTTTGTTTTGGTGACTTGTAGTACTGGCATCACTTTTTAATGTGACATTCGGTGGCTTATCGAAAGGGGTGGGAAAGTAAACTGGCCAGATTTGGTACTTATCCGCTGTGCATAGCACAGCCAATACTTTGCCGCGGTGGTGATAAAACCGTATCAACAATCGGTCTTATGGTGTGCGATTAAGTTAGTTTTCCTGATTCCTCAGCACTATGTTCTTTGCAAAGTTATCGCATTCAGATAACAACTTGGCTGATGGGTATGCTCTGTGATGCAGAACAAATGTCAACATGTGCACAATATCACCCAATACGGAGTCAAGATTTTGCATTTCTAGTGTAGCGGTGGGGGTAAGAAGCCAAGGCATGCAACAAATGGGACCTAGCGGGGTACTTGTGAAGAGTTGACGAATAAAGTGCTGGAAAATTCGAATGAAAGTGATTAGTCAGTGGTGTCTTTACCAGGAGAAATCACTTTTCATACTAAAGCAGCTTTGACCATGGTTGTCCATTAGTTGACGATAAAGATAAACTATCATCAAAAGGGTTGGAATAATTGTACAGTCGTACAATAATTGTACGGGAGTGATTGGGCTCCTCATTCTGAAAATGTAACACTTTATCCCAATTCTGACATTCTGAAAGATGTTTACATCCCGCTCTTTGCGGATGTAATGTAAGAATTTACACCTACGGATAAGACTGGGGGTCTTAGTGGAGGTTGTGGACCTCCCAAGTAACTACTGACACCCAGAACTTGTCGAATATCGGAAACCACCAGAGGGATATGAATGAGACCATTGTCTTATAGCTGAAATTGGGAGCATAAATCTGGTCCTAGAATCTCAAATCAACTGGATTCACCTTCAAACTGACCGCCTATTTTCATCTGCTTTGTTCTCACTGTTGGCGATGGGAAAACATTTCCGAGTTCGTAGATGGATGACTGAAACCAACAGAAACTTCCATGCAAAATAGTTGAGAAAAAAGATGTAACTAACTTCGTAGCCGATGCAACCACATTCCATCATTTTGAGGTCCCCCGGCTTTTTTATTGTATACTGGGGTCGAATTCGGTGCTTTAGTCCTACTCCAGAAGCTCTTTTTTACGGACTTTTTGGTGTACTTTTTGATGCGTGCGCATAGACAAGAAAAATTAAGGTAACAGGTATTGAACCAATATGGATTACCCCAGATTTACCCTACTCTCTTCGCTATCAGGAATCATTGACAACGACGAGTATAGCAGAACTAGACCGTATGCTGCGACGTTTAACAGTTTCATCAGTAGCAAAAGAGCTTAGACCCATGTTATTAATCCGCTATGAATTATGATTTCGGGGAGAGTTCCTGGAGGATTTTATGCGACGGCAACACGAAAGGACCCAGTCAGTCACGTGTGAAGCGCAACCGGATACACTTGTACTCATACATCGATTGGTTGCCGTTAGAACGATAAATTTAGGAAAATAGGGTTGCAAAATACAATGGTTGTGGATTCTTGATGAACGATTTGTCTTTCTGATCTTCGAATACAGACAGCGCAGCAAAGCAATAGGCTGATATTTTTAACAGCAAGTAAATAGTATACTTGGTTGTACAATCCTGACGTATATGCAACTTAGGTCAGGTGACACCCAGAGTAAATCAAAGGGTAGTAAATTTCCCTCTGAATTAAACTATAAGATGTATTCAGTCTGATATCAGTGTAAATGCCACCAAGTTCACGCATCATTTCTGAGTTTGATTGTTAAAATGAAAAAGGCGCAAGGGGCAAGGAGGATCACGCCTGATGCTTTTAGATTTTGGTGACCACAGTAGCGCTGAAAGAATAATATTGCTTATAAACAAAACAGATAGTATGTCACCACATTGCCGTTAAACACAAAAACCAGCAGATTCAAGCGGGTATTTTCCTAAGTTGGTTTACCACATGTAACACATCCTTAGCGATTTGTCGTCAAACCTGTCCATGCCGATACTGTCGAAGTTGTAACTTGTGGATCTGATGAAATCAGCCCTATAATCTGTGCAGTGCGACACATATAAGACATTCTTAGACTACCACTCGCTAGGACACCATCATCCATAAAATGCCTGGTTGAGCTTCTACTGAGCCGGATATTCTACAGTTTGCCACCAATTTTATCCATATCCAGAGTGATGGTTTCTGTTTTTTTTTTGATGAATTTGTCCCAGGAATCAAAATTCTCCCTAACGGTCTTTGGATCTCATGTGTTTCGATTCAGCTGTACGCCTACACTTACTGGGGCACAATCGCACAATCGTGTACACTGAACCCAAATTCCTCACGGAACGTTCGGCCATCAATTAACGTGTTTATGCGTATGGGATTCAGGCCTCACACGAGCATTCAACCCGATTTCAAGCGAATGTGCCTCATTTCATATAACTTGAGTTGTAAAAACCAATTTCTTTCGGTGGAGGTTGGAGCCTTAAAGTGGCAGCGCGGTCTGGCCATAAACGATACATTCCAAGTGATGGATACATTCGTGTGGCTTGTTTGATAAGAGAAGCCACTTAGGTGGATCGCCTGCTGTGGAATGGGCCACATAGTTGCTTGACCGACATGGCACTTTTAGACGGGCACAGGAGTTCACAAAGCAGTTGGGGGCGGATGTTGATCCGTTTCGTCGAATCAATTAAACAGTGCTTCTTCTGATATATTCTCGTTA